GTTCTGATAGACAGTCTGACTCAGTTATTTGAAAATGGAAAGCAGAGAAGAAATGGGGGAAGAGAACTTATCACAACAGAAATGGTGTCTGTGCCATTGCTTTCCGTTGTGAGTGTTCTGAGTGGGAGCTACCGAGCTGACCAGAGTCGAGGCAGAAAGGCAAAGCAGTGAGCTTACCTAAAAAAAGGCTAAAATTCCCATCACACGTTCAGCAAGTTCTGCATCAGGAGATACGTACGTAGAAAGGGCTGCCCAGGGAGAGGGAGAGCTTTAGCCAAAGGTGCTTATGGGTTTAACATGGGACACCCAACTCTTCTACAGTAAAAACCAAACCAAACCCCTTAATTAAGTTCCTTTAGTATTTAGCATCCTTTCAGATTTAAAGGACATCAAGCTATTTCCAGTAACAACTGAAAAGACTGTGGATTAGTTTGGATAAGAGTTTTCACTTGTACTATGACCAGGGATATTAACAAAGACTTATCTGTATACGTTTGGGGAAAAAACGCTAGACCTAAATTGCGTTATGATTCTCTGGCAATGTTATTTAGATGACCAGGATGGATATATTCACTGTACCTCTCTCAGATACAATGTTTTTTGTCGACATCTATATACTTCAATGAAGAGAGGGAATACTTCTATATCTCACGTTACACAGAATAATCAAAAGAATCCAGACATAAATTATTTGCTCTTTGTGGTTTACTGAAAAATGTACTTCTTTCAAGGAAGTACTGCAGTATTTCCTGTACTTTGCGGGGGGGTGGGAATGAGCAAACAAAAAACCCCAAACGTACGTGTGCCTAAAGATGTTTAAAAAAACCCCAAAGCTTTTTCATTATTGTATGTAACATTCTCTGCTTGTGCTTATTCAAAGTCTGTTCTTGCTTTTCTTGTGATTGTAACCTGTTCAACACAATCTGTATGTAATGCGAGAGCGCAATTGATAGCAAAGTACCAAATACACACTTTGTGAAATACCGATAGGCAGGCTGGCGCTCAGTTCCATGTTTGGGACTGATACGCCACAAAACTTTTCACCAGCCATTATTTCTATAGCTTTAGTGATCTAAGGGCATGCAAACAAAACCTGCAGCTGAAGTAACAAGAAGATAGTGCTGTTTTCATCACCCAAATTAAAACTACAACCAATTTTTAACACTTCTAAATGCACCTCTATGCCAGTTTGTGTAACATTTGAACGTTCCTTTTCAGTATACATTAAAAGAGATTGTTTTCAAATTATCCTCTCAATTTAAGTAATGTTATTTAGACTACAACTTCTGTACAGGCAAATAATGGGCTGTAAAAATGTAACTAAGCATCAACTGCTGGCATTTTTTAACAGGACTCTAATTTGAATGTGTTGTGCGTTCTCCATCACAAAATTTGCTGCCGTTTCAAACTATTCAGTCGCTTTCACCAGTTCTGGAGATTCTAGGAGAGTCCCTGTTTGGAGGGGATTAGTGTTTGCTCTTACTGTTGCCATATTGACAACTCAGCTAAGATGAGCTTATTTTAAAAAAGCTGTTTCTAACTCTTAGGGCTGTGAAAATTTATCTGGAAAAGGTGACATGACTGCCACTGATTCAGTGATGTGAATCACTCTAAAACATCTATTTTGAGAAGTTTGTGCTACCTGCTAATCTCAGCGAGGTTCTAGCTGTGAAATGTAATGATGGCAATTTATAAATTGTTTTTTAAAAGCATTCAGAAGCACAAGTCCCATTAATTTGGGAATAAAATTTTTGCTCTAAATTATCAAAGCACTTGGAAAAAAAAAAATCCAATTACCTATTTCTCTGCTAATAATTCTGATGTAAGTATCCCAGCTAATGTCATTTACAAATAATCCAAACCTATCTTACACCTTTCCTTTGGGGAAAAAAGTTTCCGCTTTTTGACCGTAGCTGTATGTTGTCTGTTTAGAAAAATACCCTACATTGTTATGAAATGCCGGTCGGTAACAGTCAGTGTCTTCTTTGAAAGCTAATGAGCACCACTGCAGAGTTACTTCAAGTAGAAAGAAGATCTCAGTTTATTTTTAGAAAGACAAAAATAAACTAAGAGGAGGTAATGACGCCGAGCAAGTTTTGAGGTAGACTTTTAACTAAAAATTAATTAAGAATCATATGTAACCACTTGCTTTTTCAAAATTTAGTCTGAGGTTTAACATTCTTATCAGCCTTCTCTGCTGCGTGCTGAAAGCCAAAGTTTGGCCACATCATTTACGTATCTTGGTTTACTGTTCCCTGCCAAGGGGGCACGATTCAGTCTGCCGCATTCATCTGTTAAAATAAGGCTTGTTCCAATATTAACTTGGGCCAAAACAAATCTCACAGAGTAACAAACCTCAAGTTCACTATCTTTGCCATTTTCTGCAGTTTTTAACTGAAATTGCTTTCTGGCAGTACAGCTGTGACAATTTAGCATAATTTGGCTCCTTTTTATCAAATTATTCTTGCTTTCTTACAACTGCATGTTACAGAAACATTATGAAATGAGGGGATTTTGGGATTAGTAATATTAAAATAAAATTACGGCAATAGTTTTATGTTTGGTACTTGCTGTTTTGGTTGTGCAAGTGTGAGGTTATACATTGCATCACTTGCCTATTATTTTTTGTACTTTTGAAACCTACAGTTCACTTAATTGAAAGATGCATTAAGAAAAAAAATGTGCAACAAAACATTATTCATATTCAAAACATGGGGGAAAAGAATGTCTTTTACCTTTTTTCAGCAAAACCATCACTCCTCCCTGCAGGTCTTGTGACTTTGAAGGTTTTTTCTGAACAAAACCAAAATCCAGTTGTGGTCACTTAGGGACTATATTCTCTTGATGGAAACATACTGTCATCAGCACTGCAACTGCAGATAATTATCCTTAGAGAGGTCTCGCTATTCACATTTGCCTCAATTGCTGAATATTCATTTAACTAACTTGGTCCACTTTAAAACCTCAGTTACCTTTTGAGGGGCAGAGGTATAAAGTATTGCACTGCTGTTCGGTACGTGCACCTTTTCAGCAAATATATTTTGGTTTCACTTAGGAGTTGTTGTGGCTGAAGAGCAAATTACAGTGTGGAGGCAAAATGAATTTGGATAGCAAAACCCTTTAATCACAGATGGTGGAATTTTATCAATTACACCACTTCCCTATCACTTGGAAGACATTGTACGCTCTGGGAGAGAGCGTAGCTGTTCCAGCCGTGCAGGGCATAGTTCTGGGGTCCCCTGGGTTGGGGACATGATGCTGGACTCTGGGTGCAGGCTCTTGAGTTCCGCCCCCCAGCATCTTTTCTGTACTTTTTACCTCTGAAGTGTCCGCAGCTACAGGACTGGGCAGCTACAGCCCCTTCAAACCGCACTCCGGTTTCCTGTTCTGTTGCGCCATCGTTGGAGCTCACCATCTGCTTCTTCCGACACTTCTGGACGTATTTGCACTGAAGTTCAGGTCACGTGGTTGATCACAGTTCATCTACTTCTGCTACAGCAAAACATTAAAGTTCATGGGCCTATGCCAGCAGCGATGCTGACTAGCCCTGACTCTTGCTAACAGCTACTGGAGTCCTGCCTGTGTTACAGAAATCAACCATGTTCTTTGCCTCCTGTTAAACACGCACTTTATGCCAACAGAAAGGGCCAAACATGACGGTTATGTGGAAAAGAGAGAATGTATCCACCTCCCACTGAGAGGCTTTTCTTAAAATTCAAGCATACCCCCATTTCCAAATACCTGTCCTAAATGCAGTAACTACACACTTTCCAAGTCACACCCTAATCTCCTATCCCTCGGCGGCCACTGGGAGTTCACAGTTCATCCTCCATCTTCTAATTTAAAAAAAAAACAAAACAAAACCCAACAAAACCCACCATCATCAACATAGCCATGGGAAAGTGCTGCTTGTGTTCAGCACCCCCTGAAACCAACAGTTAACTCTCAGAACAGAAATGTCTATAGCTTGGCTCCTTAGGCCAACCTTCAGGAAAAGTTTTAACTAGACAGGGGCAAAAAGTTGCCAACTGTAGCCTCGGTTGGTACATATAAAGCAAAATATCATTATTCTGTTGTACAACATACAAAGTATTTTCTTTTTACTATACTGAAAATGGGCCAGCTGCCTGATTTAGCATTTAGAAGTGTGGTGAAATGGTGCAAAATTATTCTTATTTTCTTGCCATTCTATTACTAAGGGAAAAATAAAAGGGAGGACAGAATTTAAAAGGGAGCAAAATATATTATCAGCTGTACTGAGACTATGCTGAATTCACTTACTTGAACTTCACAATACTGTGTTCCAGCTGCAGCTATCAAAACAGGTACCTGACGTAAAAGCATGGGAAAAACATGCAAAAGCACAAGTCTTATTTAAAGGCTCTATATAAATCTTGCTGCCTCACAATTTCAAATTAAAAAGCAAAAAACTTTTTAAAGGAACTTAAAGATACCAGGTAGTCTTAATCTTTAGCAGTCTGGATTTAAAGGTACATAATAGAGCATCATGCTACAAAAGAATCTAAAAGAAAAGGCAACCACTGCATTCAGATTGTGTAGACTTAGAGAAAGACTGAAATAGCTGGTACACATGAAGTATCAGATATTCTAAACCAGATATTTAAGACGACTGAAATTCAGTTCAAGATGGTGAAACAAGCTGAGCTTGTAACTGGACAACACCTCTTTAAATCAGGGCTTTTTCTCTAAGAATAGAAGGAAAGGTACTTTTACGTATTTTCATCTTTATTTAATGAGCACTTCGTTGTTTTTCTGTAAAGACGTTAATTCCTTTTATCTAGTAAAACCGTTCAGTTCTGTCAAGTCTGGGCAGATTGTGCATGTCTCGAAATGAAATCCAGGAAATGATGGATTTTATGTATCAGTATTTCAGTGTGCATCAGTAGTTTTCTTAGACTGTTTGACATACATAAATAGAGCACATCAAAGCACTGTTTCTTTCTACATGTTTATATTTGGACACCAACTGCCATTTGTGCAAATCATTCTCATTTTGGAAGGAAGAAGCTTTCTTCAATTGCAGAATTCCATCCAACACCATTTGCCTGCGATTCTGATGCGTACAGGGGATTACACAAAACGCAAAGCTTTCTCACAGCTATGATACTAAACTCTATTCCAACTACAAGATTTGATAATATTACCAAAATGATGTTTACGTTTTGGAAGGAGCTTTGACTGCAAGATGTCCACTCTTCCAGACTTCTCAGCTTTCTGGAATGAAAGAAACAGCTCACTGAAGCATTAAAAACGTATTTACACTTGGTTTGCTTTAGTTGAACCAAGGTGAATGAGAGTCATAACGGTAGTATAACCATGAAGCAGGTCATCCTTTATGTCATTACATTCTCTTAACACGAAATTCCCAGTAACTATTCGATCACATCCTATTTCCCCATGTCCAAAGAAGCCAAAGAGGGGAACGTTCGGAAAAAACTTCCTAAACGCATCTGCTTCCATATTCCTTTTGGTTTTATAATGCCGATATCCTCTGCCAACACACGCAAACATGAAGCCAATGGTGTTACGCTCAGGGATGTTTGCCGCTTTGAGACGCTGCATGGCGGCTTCTGCTGTCCTCTCGTCAGCTACATCCTGGTCTAACAAAACAGTGGCACTCTGGATCTGGGGACCGCTGAAAGCCAGCCCGACCACTCCGCAGGCATCACCGGGCTGGGCGTTGTTACTGAAAGGCAACAGGCACCGAGTCAGAGAGCGTTCCAGAGACCATTTCCAACCTGAGTTACTTCTGCTGTGGCACAAGTAGATTTCAAAACAGACCAACAATCCTAGTGATTTTGAAAGCCACCTCATAGTTAAAAAACTTCAAGTTTTAGCAACCTTTTTATAGCAACCTTTCACCAGGAAAAACATTCACATCCATTACCACAGATTAAAGGTAAGCCTACCTTAGGCTTACATACCAAGTCATACAAATACATGTATGTCATATAAAGCTTCTAGCTTTTCTGACTAGATCACAGCGTGGCAGTTGGCAGTTTTATTCTCGTAAAAAAAAAAAAAAAATTTTAGTCCTGTTCATAGGCATCTCTAGTATGACATAACTAAAAGGCTATGGCTTCTGCAGTGTTTCTCCCATTTTAAATCTTTAGAATTTACCTTTAAAAAGACACCTACTTCTCAGATGTCAGCGATGTAAAGCTCTCCACTTGTCCCCCAGCCAGGATGATACTTTTCTCATTCAAAGGATTGACTATTTGATGAAGAAACCGAGTGGCTCCAGACTTCCAGGAGTTGTAGCCAAAGAGAAGAACCACCCGGAGATCCGGGTTATTCTTCAGACCTCCAAACAAAACGACAAACACCAGTCCTCTTAGTTTTAAACCCCGACCTCTGAAGTCCAGCTGTCCTAGTCTCATCCCAAATAACATGTCACACCTTTAGTAACAGCTTTCCAGTGCTGCAATTGGGAAAACGAGATGCAAGTTGCCCAGGCATTCAGGAGCTGGGCTGCATTCCCCACGTAAGTGACAATTTCTGAAAAGAACCTAGCAAGGAAAAGACGACTGCATCTGCTTCCTCCAGCCTTCAGCCTCTCTAGCACAGCATTTGAGTTTTATCACAGCCTCTAAAGGCACAGCTCTTCAGTTTTACTTGGCAGCCTTAATCGCCCTTTTACAGATAAGAACTGAGCGTACAGGTTATTCAACAAGAACCACAACGCAGTAAATAGCTTTACCTGAAAATTAAATACATTTCCTCAAGAAACCCTCACTATGTTACTCTTCATAAATGATCTACCCTGCCGAGGACACAACGTGAGGAACGTAAACTGTGTTTACTGAACTAAGCTGCCTTCTGTTCTACCTTTCCTTGCTACAGCACCTCGCTTGGGATCTACATGCAAAGTTATTTTTGAGAAGAGAAGCAGCTCCTCCCCACTCATTTCTAAACTGCGGTGATGGGAATCATTTCGAATGGCACAGACCCATCCACCATTATTTTTAACGAATTAGATGTTGCTCAAAACGCAACGGCTCCCTCTGAACAGCTCCACTTGGAACCATAATGAGGTAATCTAAGATCAGTAACTTAATACTCCAGAGAACGGAAAGAACAGAGACACAGAACCACCAGCTGCAGCCCTGGAGAGCCAGAGAGTGCTCTGTGAATAGAAGCACAGAAACTGTTGCTGCTGCGCTGGTGCCTAAAAGAGCAATGCAACACTTCACAAAAGCCCCCCCCAAAAAAGGAGAACAAGGACATACCTGCTTCAGCAAATTTACTTTCATCAAAGACCCTGTTCTTCAAGTCTTTTGAAAAATGGAAGGTATGAATTTTCACCCCATCGATTTTGGGAAACAACAGAGCAAACCCAGCTTCGCCCTCTTCAATTTCTTGAGGTTGATTGCTGCTTGAGCCCATGGGGGTAACTACAAAGATACAAACCCAGACACTTCGTGTTCAGCGACTCTACTACTTTCGTCTACACCGTAACACAGATTAAAAGAGGCAGAACGGCTTAGACAATGTAAAGCGTGATAGTTCACTTCCATAACAACACACCTAACTTTCATTTCCGTAACAACATATCTAGTTGACAATCGGTGCGATTTTTTTTGTTGTTTTGGTAAGATGAAGCAGGTAGAGTCCTGCTGGCTATAGATTGTGCTGAACTCCCTCTGGACAAGGGAGTCCCTTTGGACATTTCCCTCCCGCTACACCAACTATAAATCAGCTGGAAAACAAGCACCATGCAATACCACTGTCTCAAGTTTTCCTGCAGGTAAATCTACGCAAACATACTCAGATTTCTAAGGACCACAAGTGAAACGGGGAAGGGTGTTACACAAGCGTGTGATGACAGTATAAGGGAAAATGACACAAATATTGGGAGTCTATTATGGAATTATGCTAGTGACAGCGATCAAATACCCTGCTTATGCTACAGGAAGAGAATTTAAAGCAAAAAACTAGGAAAAAACTGCCTAATGATAAAAAAAGGGAAGCACTAGAAAAAGACTGCCAAGGGAGGCTGTGAGTTTTCCGTTGTTACTGCGTATACCTCCTGCTAGACCACAACACCCAGGTACACGCTGAGAACGTCCTGCACAACGAGTCACAACGTGACTCTGACAAATACAGATAAAACCAAGAAACAGTCAATAATTACATTAAGGTGCCAGGAAAAACTGCAATAAGCTGTTTTAATCAATCCTTTTAATCAATTTGATCAATTAAATCAACCCTTTTAATTATAACTGTATCACAGGAAGTAAGAATTTAAGCTCCGTATGACCTAGCAGCAAGACCGTGAATGCCTTAAAATTTAAGCTAACACCGAGCAAGGTAGGAGAACACGCAATTGCTGCAAGAACTCTCCCGTCAGTCTGCAGAACTATACATTCAAAAACGTAGGAAATTGTGATAAACAGGAACTGTAACAGATGGGTGACACGCTAGACAAGCTGATCTCCCACAACATCCTGCGTTTTCCTCCTACCTACGATCCCTGGGGTGACCAGTCCAAGGACCTGACATCGCTTCGGCAACAGTTTTTCGAGCGCAATTGCTGTTTCTTTACTGTTTCTTTTCCTGGCTGTTTTTTAAAAAAAAAAAAAAAAAAAACCACACAGCAGAGAGAAGTAAAAATTAGTAGTTCTGACCAGCACTGGAACAAACCTTGCGGTCAATCCGCTGCTATTTAACCACAGCAGCCCATCAGCGGCTGCTCCGTCAAGAGCAGAGGACCGCTGGTGCGCAAAGAGAACTCCTCGAACCGTACCGCAGACGTAAAACTACGCGGCCTCGGGTTTTTTGG